GAATTCAAGGTTAATTTGTAATGCGAGAAGCTACAAATTAAAAATTCTATAAGACTAGTTTAGTGAATAATTGAAGAGCCTGAATTCAGGCTTCGAGCTCCCTTCCGTCCCGATCTGCGACCGCAAATCTAAATTACGACATATTTTGCCAATCCAAAGCGGAGCGAGTTAAAGAATTGAAATTTTGGGATTTTGTTTGGTCAAATAAGGCATGTGTGACAAATTCAGATCGGCGTTAATCCTAGATGTCTGTTGAATTATAACCGTACGTCCAAACACGAACTAGCAACAAGACTGCGGATAAAACAAGCCACGGATCTAAAATTTTGCTACTTCCCGGGAACTAAATCATGCAAAAAGCCGTGCTAATAAATTACAGTGTGTGTGTAAGTCGCTTTGACATTCACAATAGCTTGCATTAAACGCAATTTATTACGTTGCATCATGTGCGCACGGGTTGTTTCGCAAAAAATATTATTGTTCTTTTTTTCTCAAAGTAAATTCCTAGGGGTTTGAGCCTGGAATTTAGGGAATGAAAGCGGGAGTGGATATCCTGTACTTTTGCCTAATTCAAAGCATCACACTTCTTTTTTGTTTTCATCAGTGGGTAATGGACCCGAATTTCGCGTCAAATTTTGAATTAATAGACGATATGAATGAATGAATCAATTAATAAATGATCTCATTTGCTGAAGGTTTTTTTTTGTAGTATAACAATAAAAATGGGGAAAAAAAAGAAGTCGAAAAGAAAGAAAAAACAAAACAAGACGGAGCAGCATGATCAGGAACCTGAAAGAGATCTGGAACGGGAGCTGGAATTATGGGAGCCGAAACAAGAGCAGAAAACGTGGGATCCGAAAAAGCAGCGACAATTTTGGAGTAACATTGCTCCCGCAGAGTTAGCATCAGTGCTAAAAATTCCAGACGAGGAGTTGGATGAGTATCACAGCAACGTGATGCCTGAAGTGCTTGAATTAGTAAAACCTATTACAGCACTGATAAGGGGTTTGGCACGAACCAGAGCAAGCTTTACAATCATGCTTACAGAAGGGGCAGCCCTGATAACAGGTTATCAGAGAAGTTTTGGAGAGGCGGGGCTTAAGAATCTTGAAGCCATTTTCCAAAGGAAGCCGTGGAAGAAGAGTGATCAGAAAGGAAGTTCAGGAATTCTCGGATGCTATATTGCTGAAGCTGTATGTGTAGTAAAAGAGGCCGGTCAAGCAGTATTTAATGAAAAAGCCATGAATGAAATATATCAGTTAGTGATATTGCATGTAGTACAGTTCTTTGAACAAATAGCCAGACAGATGCAGAGCAGGGATGATATTCCGGGAGTGGCAACGGTGTCTTTTTTTCATTTCGTCTTTCTGGGTACTGTCGTAAAGTCCTTCGAATTGATTCGGCCAGTGCAAAAGCAAGCTCTCCTGTTATTTCATGTTCTCGCGCAAAAAACCGGTCATCAGGTACGACTTATTCATAGGTTTCCAGAATTGCTGTTATTAGCTGATGTCAAGCTCGGAGTCTGCAATAATTATTTGCATTCCGTGCTGCTCGGGGATTGTTGCTGAGATAAGTCGAAGGCGTGTGCTTGTTATTACGTATTCGGGATTTTTCTGCTCAAAATTTTCTTATAACCAAATCCAAATGGATCGTGATGAAATTCGCCGATGAAGACAAACAGGCTTAAAAATTGGTTTTCCACAATTAATTATATTTTCCATTGGCGCAACTCGGTGCCAAGAATACGAAGCAGACTGCACAGTCGAAGTACCGTTCTTATTGCCACAGATTTTATAGAGATGCTCTCAAATGCATGTCTCGTTCCAGCTGGTACTTACCACTTGTTCGATGTGCGTATGCCATCTCACTGAGAGTGTCCGAGTGATCCTCACAAAGTTGTTCCTGGCTTTTGTTGCCCAAATTCGACACGAAGCAAAATGAAGGC